TAAGCGATACTCAGGACATTTTGACCCAAAAGATTGTGAACGCGAACAACCCGCTCGCGCTGCAGGCGAAGAGAATCAAGGACACCGGGACAATCATCATAGCGTTCGAAGGACACAAGGTGCCCAGATTCGTGAGATATGGACCTTCACTTTTGCAGTGCTCCCTTTACCGCAAGAACATCAATATTTGTTACGTATGTGGAAAGCTGGGACATCGGTCTGACGTCTGTCCGAACCCAGCTGAAACAATCTGCAGAGGCTGCGAGACCAAGAACCCAGATAGCCTGCACCAGTTCAATCCAAGATGCAGGCTGTGCGACGGTCACCATCCCACGGCAGACAAGGAGTGCAAGAACAGGTTCTTAGTGCCATACGTCGTCAGACGCAGACGTTGGGAAAGATCGCGAGCAGCCGCAGAAGCGCAGGACGCATCAATCACATCGAGTCCAGACATCAATGACAAGCAGCTTATTCCAGCCTACGGGACCCAGAGCATCCAGACTGCACAAGAACAGGAAAGGCGGCCCGCTCCAGGGGGAGGTCACGTTCCAGAAGAGGTTCTAGACCCAAGGCCCGCTCCCAATCACGGGGGCGCTCGAGTTCTCAAGGTCACCATCAGGGTCGGGATCAGCCTGAGCGGCACCCGAATGGCCAGCTGCCTGGCGTTCAGTTCGAGATCACGGCTTCACACCCGGGGAGGACGCCTGCAGTTACTTCGAAAGGCAGCTGGGCTGAGCGAGTGCGCAACGGCGGGGCAGAGGTGATGACAGGTAAGCTGCCAGAGCATGATAGAATTGCACAGCTAGAGCAAGAAAACGCGAGACTTACTAAATCGAATGAGAGGCTATCAGCTGAGTTAAAGGAAATAAAAATTCTTCTCACTAAGCTAACCAGCGCGCAATCTTCACAGCCAATGCCTCAGCCAGTTGATGTCCCTGTGGCTGAAAACGTGGGGGACTCGAGAACCACGAAAAAGAGGGCAGTCATGGCAGAACACGTGGAAGCCAACCAAACGACCATGTCAGATATGAAAGAGGTGTTTGACACGCTCAGCAAAGTAGTAGCCAATCTTAGCGAGCAGATGGGTAGGCTACAATCAAGCGTGGTGGCACTGGAAGAGCATATGACTTTGCGCATTACAAAGCTCGAAGCAGATTTGCACAACACAGCAAGGCCTCCTCATGCACCAAGCTCACCCCTTCGGCCAACAATACTAGTGGTACCAAACCTGTCGACAGGTGCAGCATCAGGCTCTGGCCGCCCATGTAATAACCATGATGGCAGCGCTACGTGAAGCATTTCGTATCTGGCAATGGAACTGTAGAGGTTACCTTAAAAAGAAGGCAACCCTGCAGCAGTATATCAAGAGCAGCGAAGAAAAGCCTCATATTATATTATTACAAGAGACCCTTTCACCGCAAGCAACGTTGCCTGGATTCCGGCCTGTAATAGGGGATATTGAAGGGAGGGGAGTCTGCACCTTCGTATGCAACAAACTAACGCACGTAACCCACGACCTCAAGATAGAAGCAGGCCGGTTGGAACACGTCTTGGTAGAGATCGTGCCGGGTACCAGCAACCGTCAGAGCATTTTCATTCTGAATATATAGAGCAGTCCAAAGGAACAAAAGCAAGGGTTCAAGACGGTTCTTAAGAAAGCTGTTAATATCGCCGGGGAATGTCCACTCGTCATAGCAGGTGAATTCAACGCCCCTCATCATACATGGGGTTACAAGTACAACACTGGGAAAGGAAATCAACTTTGGCAAAGTGCCAGTGAACTTGATCTCACCCTAATCACAGACCCCAGACTACCAACAAGGCTTGGTACATCTTGCTGCAGGGATTCCACCCCGGACCTTACATTTGTAAGGAACATCAAGAAGGCCCAGTGCATGAACCTTGCTGTAGACCTAGGGAGTGACCACTGCATTCTTGCCACTACCTTCTCCGTGGAGCGTAAAAAGCAGAGAGAATTCCAGTTCACAGACTGGGATAAGTTCAGGAAGATAAGGATGGAAAGGGAACAAGATGGCCACAGACAAGGCTTGGAGCAGTGGGTCAAACAATTTAAAGATGACATCAAATCCGTCTCCTCCACCATTACCACAGATCTTCCGGTTGAACGAATGGATAGCCGGCTTGCTCATCTTCTTGAGGCAAAGCAAGCACTACTGAACCGTTGGAAGGGTCAGCGCCTGAACCGAAGACTGAGGAAGAAGATAGCTGAGGTAAACAGATCAGTCGAGGAACATTGTCGCGCACTATCGAGGCAGCAATGGGACGAAATCTGCAACTCCGTCGATGGTCTGATGCGCAATGGCAAGACATGGAATATGTTAAAGCATCTCCTCAACGAAAACACCACCAAAACAAATCAAAAGCATGTTATCGCTCGAATTTTGCATAAAGAGATAGGGCGCACTACAGAACAGCAAGTTGTCCAGCAGCTCGTGCATAAGTACCTCCCAATCAAAAGAGGATTGGCACCACCAAGTAGACAGTACCAGGGCACGCCAAATCCAGGTCTTGAGGGCGACTTTAACATCTAGGAGATCAGAAGAGCCTTGCATGATCTCAACGGCAGGTCGGCCCCTGGCCCGGACGGTATATCAAACAAGGCCCTACGTAACCTTGATGACGATTCAATTGAAACCCTGAGGGATATGATCAATTCAGCATGGAAAGAAGGCAGGGTGCCAGAGCAGTGGAAGCTGGCCAGCACGATCCTTATTCCTAAGCCAGGAAAGCCCCCTAACTTGGACAACATGAGGCCAATATCCTTAACATCATGTATCGGCAAGGTCGCAGAACATGCCATACTGCACAGGATAAACAAGTACTTGGAAGATAACAACATATATACACACAATATGGCTGGATTCAGGGCAGGGCTATCCACACAAGATGCATTGAAGCTTATCAAACACCAGGTCATTGACAATGAAACCAGCGACGTGAGAGCCATTTTGTGCCTAGATCTAGAAAAAGCGTTTGACAACATCCACCACTCATTCATACTCGAAGCAATTTCCAAGCTTGGTCTAGGGAAAGCCTTCTATGACTACGTATGGTCCTTTCTTACAGATCGGAAAGCCGTGATGAAGATTGCAGATATCGAGACCACAGCAATCGAACTAGAAGCAAGGGGCACGCCACAAGGGGCAGTGATTTCACCAATGCTGTTCAACATTGCCATGATTGGACTGTCAAAGAAACGATCGAGCATTGAAGGATTGAAGCACAGCATCTACGCAGATGACATTACCATCTGGTGCACAGGTGGAAGCGAGGGGCAGATTGAGAGCGCTCTGCAAGAGGCAATTGACACCGTAGAAGACTACCTTCGCCCTTCCGGGCTCAAGTGCTCCTCGAGTAAGTCAGAACTTTTGCTTTATCGGACTGCACGCCGGGGACCGAAGCCCAGGGGATGGAAGCCGTTAAACCAGATAGACATCCATCTCCGTACAAATCAAGGGGATACCATCCAGAGGGTCGACTCCATCAAAGTCCTGGGAATGCTGATATAGTCTACCGGCGCCAACAGCAAATCTATAGCCAAGTTAACTCGGAAAACAGACAGTGCGGTGCACCTCATACGCAGAGTGGCCAATAAAAGAAATGGGATCAAGGAAGACAACCTCATCAGGTTGATGCATGCGTTTGTTCTAAGTCACTTCACATACGAGGCAGCAATGCACAACTGGTCAAGAGCAGAGTCCGAGACACTGAATGTGCTCCTCAGGAAAGTTATCAAGAAGGTCCTGGGCCTACCCATACATACCAGCACCGAGCGTCTACTTGAGCTTGGCATACACAACACGCTCGAAGAAATGGCAGAATCCCAAGAGAGAGCACAGTTTGCAAGGTTATCTACTACTAGGTCGGGGAGAATGATCCTGCAGGAGCTGGGCCAACACCCAATAGCAATCAGACGCAATTACAATGATATCCCTGACAACATCAGGGAGACTATCACGGTATCTCCTATACCGAGAAACATGCATCCAGAACACAACGTCGGAAGAAGAGTAGCGAGGGCCAGGACTATACTTCGTCAAGGCTCAAACGAGGAACGAGGGGTCGTATTTGTTGACGCGGCTTCCTACGCCAATGGGAAAGTGTTTGTGGCAGTGATAGTCGATGGGGCTGGCCATGTCGTCAACTCAGCGAGGTCAGGACGAAAGACCCAACATTGCGGACAGTGGCCATCGCCTTAGCACTTCAAGATGGATAACATTGAATCTTCTACAGTGCTTCCATGACGCACTCGGGGCGTTCGCCAAGGGGCTCTGTGAACACACCTGAAATACTGCAGGCAAGAACATAACACATCATCTTCTGAGTTTGGTTCCCAGCTCAACCTGGACAATCAACGATTCCCCTCCGCAATCTCAACTAAGAAGCAACACGAGGCGGCGCGATAACCTTTCGAAAACCATGGAGGTTACGCCCAGCGAGTATGACGTAGCAAACTTTTTCAGTCAGATAGTGCTCAATGTACATGCCAATGGCTGCTAATGGGAAAAGAGAGGCGGAGAATTCGGCTTTTACTTTCTTACGGCTTGCGCTTCGTATCTACTTCCCATTTTTAAACACCTCGAGTTCATTCATGGTATATACAAGTTCATTGTAATCAGGGCACTGCGGCTCAACGCTCGCTAAACCTTTCTGAAGCTAAGGAGGTTACACCCAGCGAGTATAACGTAGCAACCCTTTCTTGTCAGATAGTGCTCAATGTACATGCCAATGGCTGCTAATGGTGATCGCAGCCTGCGCGTCAACTAAAAGCCGAATGCTCCTGTCTCTCATTCCCCATTAGCAGCCATTGACATGTACATTGAGCCCTATTTTTTTTGTTCAACAACGCACAGAAGAAGTTTCTCACCGGCACCACCTTGGAGGTCAAAATGTTATACTTGTTACACACTACGGGGGACGAACGGGTGCCGTTATAAGAAGTTTCGCCCCCAAAAAAGTATTCCCTTCTATGAACTCACAAAGACAGAAGGAAGCGGCCTGTCCCAATCCCAAGCCGAGACCTAGAATCCCTCTGGAGAACAGAAGGAGAGAGAACCACGGGGATACCGCCACGCAGACGCTGCCGACGAAGCTGGCCACGTATCCGGCGATCACCATGGGTCGTCGTCCAAGCCTGCACAATCAATTAATCAATTATTCAATCAACCAATCAGCCAATCACTTACTCGCTCACTCACTCAGTCAGTGAGTCGGTCAGTAAAAGAGAAAACACCCGCGTACCTCCACGATGTGAGTCACTACGAGTGGCCAAAGCACTGGGGAGATAAATCACCCCCCCACGACTGATATGTAAAGTATATACATTGTTTTGTTGGTCATAACCCGTATGTTGTGCTAATTTCTGCATTCCGTTTTGCATTCATTTTTATTGCTTTGTGGTGCGCGAAATGTATAGCCAATGGTTCGTCGATGGAATCTAACCTTCAGTTGGCAAAGACGAGGTCTATGCACGTTTTGTTTATATTTAGGTGCTTATAAAAGACTGAGTCTTCTGTATACATTAACTACTCATGAATCTTTCGTTTCTCAACTAGACCGGACTTGTACGAGCGCAAGCTTACAACCTTTCGCTTAATGTACACGTTGATGTCTGTGCCGTCGAGTATGTTTCTAGGGGGGGCATCGAGACCATCTTCTGGAAATCTGTCGGCACGTCGACCACTTGACCTTTGATTCTGTGCCGCCAGTTGACGTGCGTTAAACGCCTGATGCTCATCGACGGGAGCTGCGGACCGATTCGATGATCGCTGCTTCCCGAGCTCTTGCCTCCGGGGTACCTTTCTGTGTGCGTAGATATTGAGCCACTGCATGCTGCACTCTCACCTCTGGTGTAGCAGCTTGTCGGTGTTGCTGCGTTTCTGCGTTGGCGTTGCTTTTCACGGGCGAGAGTGCATTCGCGTTCATTTTCATCTTAGGATGAGAATGTGCGGTCTGGAACGCGCTAAATTTTCATTGTAATCAGCCACAGTACAAAGTGGGCATGAATCCTTACATATGTCTAGCGGGTACATCGCTTATTAGCAGAATTATGAATGGCATTGTGGCAAAGTGAGCCCCATCTATTCCATGAAATTTACGGTGGGCGTATAGTAGTAAGTACCTCACATGTGCCGTGCCATGACGAACATGCAGTACCGATATAGTGGGTACCTTAGACGTGCTGTTCCGGACAACGGACAATGAAAAAGCCTAGACCCTATGAGTTCTTCTACCCGAAATATGGCCCCTCTTCCCGTAAAACCGGGATGCGCCTACCTTACTCCTGTGAAAGGCAGTTGTGCGAGCTTGTTTCCTCTCGAGCCGTTAGGGCTCTTTTTCGGCTAATGCCAGTATCCCCATGGTAAAACATAAAAGTTCGTTGTTACCACCTAAAACTCATACGATTGGCTGAACCGGGACACCAGAACCCCTGACGAAATATCCGAGGACGTTCAAATTGTCGACTTAGAACCAGCGTAATATTTTCGAGTTTCTATTGGGGAGTCAGCTGTAAATTTACTTTACCTGCAACCGTCATAAACTATTACGGATATTCAGCATCAGGATATAAAATCAGGTTGGTGTAACACAGGAGTTAGCAAGCAAATAGGCTGATCGCCATGCGTGTAACGGTGAGGTCCACGGGCCGGCTTTATCCTCTCCCATAGTGGAGTACTAATTACTCTAAATCATTAACCATTTTATCAACCCACACAAAACCTACTGCTCAACCACAGTTTAGTACAAAGTTTTGTCGGTGACAAGCTAAGAATAAAAAAAAATTGCCAAGTCTCACGTAGAGTGGGAATCGATCATATGCGAAGCATGAATGAGAAATGTCAGCACAACGTTACGAGGTGGAAGTAAATGATGCCGTACATGACTTTTCTGTCATGATTATCATGTTTGGATGTGCCGCCTACCTTCGTCATCCATTCACGTCACGTGATACCAAGTTTAGTATATGTGGAGCTAGCGAAACGGCTGCGAGCACGCTATGAGCGTGGTATGTTGTCATTGTTATGACCGTCGTCAGTAGGCGCCATGCTGTCGCTGGGAAGCGTAGCCGGGCAGCGTTCCCACGCCTGGAACCCAGTTTTCTCGGAACCAGCGTCCAGAATTGACAGGGGAGCGGCGCTCTTTTAATCCTCAAAAAAGTAGCCGACTGGCCGGCTGCCTATGCCCACCAGGTATTGTCCCTGCTAGCCGGAGGACGAGACGTCATCTCGCCACGACGCCGTAAGCCGTTCCAGATAGGACAACAAAGACAGCGTCTTCCTTGGAAGAAACCGTGGCCGCCGTCACAAATTGCCCTGCTAATTGAGCGGACAAATTGGCGGACCGTTTGATGTCTGCTGTCGGGAGCTTGGGACCCCTCGACCAGCGACACACACATGACGAGGAAGAGCCCCTCTGGCGCCACCTTGCAGTGCAGTGATCACGACTCAATATTGGATGTTCACGTGGGCCGTGCATGCTCGTACCCCTCGCCTGTTGTGTGTGTGTGATTGGTGTTCCACTCAAGAAGGAGTAGCCCGACAGGGCTTATATCGACGCCGCAGAGTGCGGGACGTCGCTCTGAACCATGTAACGGTTCAACCACCACGTTCGTGGTTTGTGAACTCCTAACCTTTCAATGCTATAAATAAGTGTAAATAGTGCCATAAACCTGTTTGTTTTTTCGTATCCCCATCTTGTAAGCGTTCGTTTCCTCAACCCGAAGCTACACCACACTACCACAAGAGACCGGGCAGACCCCGGTCCGCAACAACGGGTGGCAGCGGTGGGATCCGCAACAACTGGTGGCAGCGGTGGGATCCGCAACAACTGGTTGGCAGCGGTTGGATACGAAGCTACAAGTGACAACAACAGTCGGCCCAAGGGAAGCAGCTGGCTCGAGACATGGATCACATATGGGTGAGTGCGTGGCTTTTCCTTTGAGTGAACCAGGTTCTAAAAGAGGATTAAATTTTAGAACTGGTAGTTAACTTTGCCGAAAGACTCAGTTTCGCCGTTTCGGAAAGTTTTTTTTTTTTGGAAGTAGCGAGCAATCAGTACGATCATGGACTTACGGGAACTGCAGAAGTCGGACTTGTTGCTGTTGTGTGAGGAATTGGGGATCGATACAAAGGGTTAGGCACGAAAACCCATAATCATTCAAGCGATTAATGATTTGGGGGCGGATGATGAGGAACTAAGCGAAGAATGAGACCTCATCATTGAAAGAAAGTTAAGAGCAGCTAAGATGGAAGGAAAGAGTAAAGACGAAAAAGAAGGCCTCAAGATAAAGTTTTTCGAACAAGACTATGAGTTGAGTATGAGGTTGAAACCCCAGCGAGGAGCACTTCTTCTCGACATTGAGGCAGAGTTCGAGATGTCTAGGTACATGCAGCCATATGAGGTATCATGGGATATTGGCCTGTATCTTAGACTGTTTGAACGAAAGTGTAGGCAACTGTCGTGTGAGCGAGAGACGTGGTCTCAGAAGATACTCATGGTTCTGCCCTGCGAGGCAGTGGATGTTGTTGCGCGACTCAGTGAGCAGCACGCGAACAACTACGAAGTTGTTAAAGCAGAGCTAATCAGGAGATTTGGAAGTTCTGTTAGCAAAAAGAAAGAAAAATTCAGACCGGAGTTTGAAAGCGAGGTGTGTCACAAAGCGCCGGAAGTTAAGGTGCGTCATGAAGCGCTTGAAACAGAGATCGCGCCAGTAAAGTGCCTGCGTATTTTAGAATCCATCAAGGTAGAGTATGCTGAGAACGAGGCCTTGGCGGGTCTGGAGGTAGGGACGATGTCAAAAGACGCTCCTTGCATGAATGACGAAGGTGCCAGCAGCCCTAATGGGCCCAATAAGATGCTGGAAACCTCCTTTGTGCCTCAAGAGGACGTTTCGACATCGTCAAATGTAGGCATGGTTAGCGCAGTGGCTGATGAGAGCAAGAACGCCACGCTTCAGCAGTGCAGCGATAATACCGAGCTGGTTTGCAAACATCGCAGAAAAAGGAAGAAGCGGAGGCGTTCGTCACTGTGCAAGCCTAGGACAGGCTGCACTCAGTCACAAGAAAGACGAGAGGGTAGGCCGTTAATCCGTTTCAAGGAACGTCAATGGTGGCGTTCAGGGGAGCACAAGCGGCGAGCCAGGTGTAGAGCGGGGAAACGAGGTGCGTTACCCCAACGAAAAACGCGGTTGCGTTCGACGACTTCGGGAAAGCGGCCTTGCCCGATGGGTCAAAGTCGAAAGCGCAGAGTGGCTAAATACCGTATAGGGGAGAACACAAAAGAAAAAATGGCACAGGTTTCACCCCTGCTCCTCGCGTCCCTTTCCAATTCCTGAGGGGAACAGGCCGAAGTGGAAAATGAGGTGTGACAGCAGGACACCGGCTAGCCTTTATGCGTTTTGTAGCCTCTGGCATGTTCGAAAACCGCCGGGACCGCGACCCCATCGTGTGCGATTCAGGCAAATCTAGTATAGAAAAGGGGGCACGGTTAGTTTGAGTAGTTGTTGCACGCGTGTGCTAAGTATGGTTATTCAGTGCAACATTGAAGATTCATGTTGGAGTCGTTTTAATTGTGTATAGGTTACAAGATTTGATGTAAAGTTTGCAGAAAGAAAACCGCCGAACTAGAAGTGCTTTAATCACTAGTACGAAAATATCGAGAAGGTAAAAACAGAAAATTGTTATTTTCGAGTGTTTTTAAGGTTTAGTGTTATGTCGTATGCCTTCACTTTCAAGTGAATTTGGAGTGAACGAACATTTGAAGGAAGATGTTAACATAGACCAAGTGATTTCGTAAAATGATTAAGTTTGGCGCGACATGGTAGAGTTGTCGTTACGCGCTAGTAGTATTGAGAACATTCTAGTGTACTGTTTAAGCGTAAAACCTATGCAATTGTTGGGAGGTGCTTTAATGAGTATTGCACCTAGGATTACTTTTGTGTTGTACACGGTGTGTTACAACGTAACGTTAGAATGAACATTAAGACAAACTGTGAGGGATTATGCGTCTGGTTAACAGTACCATGTAATTTGCAACGCTGTAGAACTGAGAGTAATTGAAAACGCTCAAGAGAGCTCAGTGGTTTTTTTTTTTCTCAGAAGCGTTAGCATAGGCAGATAACTTTAACGAAATGAA